ATGTTCATGGATTAAAATTTGTAACTGGCAATTTTGTCATTATTATGGATGCAGATTTTTCACATCATGTATGTATTGTATATTAATTAGATCTTAAAAGTTAGATATGTTAAATGTTAGATATGATTTAGATTTAATATTTGGCAATAAGGTAAGTATATTATATATATCAAAATAATAATAAAAATAATATTTTTTTTAAAAAAATAAAAAGCCTAAATTTATTCCTCAATTTATTAGGTAAATAAATTACCATGAAAAAAATTATTTATTTTTCTTTAAAAATAAAATTAACTTATTATTTATTAATAATTAAAGACTTCAAAAGGTCAATGGTTACGATATTGTGACCGGCACAAGATATGCTGATGGAGGTGGCGTTTATGGATGGGATCTTAGACGAAAGATAATAAGGTAAAAAGGGAAGATTTTTTAATAAAACTTTCCCAATCAATCAATAAATCAATTAATAAAAAACTACTTACTTTCTTTGATCAAATAATAGTCGAGGTGCAAATTATCTTGCTTCTACATTATTGCGACCTGGTGTTTCAGATCTTACAGGCAGCTTTAGGTTATACAAAAAAGAAGTATTGGAACAAATAATTTCTTCGGTTGTCTCGAAAGGTTACGTATTCCAAATGGAAATGATGGTAAGGGCTAGACATTTGGGTTATACAATAGGAGAAATTCCAATTACGTTTGTTGATAGAGTTTATGGTGAAAGCAAAATGGGCGCAAATGAGATTGTACAATATGCTAAAGGTGTTTGGCAATTGGTAAGTAATTCTATAAAAAAGGATAATGATGATGATGAAATTGGTGATGTGAAATTTATTGTTATTGAATTTTATATTTTAGAATAACATTTTCTTTTTTTTAAAAAAAATAATGATAATAGTTCATTGCGATCTGATGAGAAATGAATCAATGCTATTTAATATAATTTGATTTTATTTAAAACCTTTTGTAATTTGTTATCATATCACTTCTATATTTATGTATCAAATTATAGAAAAATCATCTTCAGTCTAACTAATATATAAAAGAAAGAATTTAATCTTTTTTTCTTGGCAATTTTATATTCAAAAAAATAAGCGAGAATTAAATTATAAAATTTTTTAATTTCTATTATAATTTTCTAGGATTTAAAAAAAAATCAATGATAAAATAAATACAAAAAAATTATTTAATTATTATTATCATTTAAAATAAAATGTTTAATAAATATAATACATTATAATTAAAAATTATTGTCATTAAAGCAAAATAATGGTTATTTTAATGTTTTTTTACTTCCTCAATACTATCAATGTTAATGTTGTTGTTGCTGATATTATTATTACTATTATTAATGTTGTTGTTATTGCCGATATCATTATTGATGTCGTTGTTGCTGCTGATATTATTATTATTATTAGTGTCGTAGTTGTCGATATTGTTGATATTGCTATGATTATTATTAATGTTATTTTGTTTTTGGTTAAGATTGGGATTGTGATTATGATTGCGACCGAGATGTTCGTTTTCTTTGCTTGCCTCTTTAAGTAAGAAAGATATCCACATATCCGAAAATGACTTTTTAAGATAAAGAGAAAATATAAATTATATATTAAGATTAACAGAGTCAACGAAACCAATACAATCAAATTAATACCTCTTTTGGGCCATCCTCCTCATCTTCACTTATACGAATAGTTGGTCTAGGGACATCTTCTGATAACCTACTACGAGGTCTCTCCAAGGTTGGAGTCCATAGACCTGATACCCAGCCACTAGATCGGTCCTCTATAGGTCTATTTATTGATGCTTTTCTTATTAGGCCAACCTTTTCTTTTTGCTCTTCGCTCCATTGTAACATATTGGCCATTAACTGTAGAATTTCAAATCTTTTACTATCACCACGTGGAGTATTAAAGA